GAGGGATTCTAACTATTGGATGATTATCATAACACTAAAGTAAGGAGGCACAAACTTCATATCAGTGGTGAAAGGAAAACACAACTGCAAGTGCCACACCTTGTGTATGAATAATTTAAAAATGTGGTTCTTTGTATGTGCAGATGAGGATTCAGGTAACATCACCATTTCCAATCCATGCTTGAAAAGCTCTTACAAAAACACAGTAGTAAAGGAAAAATTAAACTGTCACCTCTTATGAAGTAGGGGCATTTACACCTTTAAATAATGGAAGCATCAGTTCTATCAGGGACAGTTCACAGCCCTTTGTGGAGAAAGTAAATATTACTTCATGCATATTAGCTAGCAGTCCAGTGGTCTAGCAGTATAATATGGGATCCTTTCTAAAGAAGTTCAGATACATCTTTTACTGCACCTAGAAATTGGAAATAATTTATTCTGACAGAAGCATTGAAATTTCCAGTATAGTCACTAGTGGTAGGTACCTATGGAGGTCTCCAGAAGGAGGTTTGGTCTGCCTAATTTAGAGAGTCAGACATAAGAGTATCTTCTGCTATGGCAAGATTTTCTAAAATTAGGAAGATTTTAACCTGTTAATAAAAGCTCCAAGTAATGTGTATTATTTTCAGAAGTGGTAGCTTTTTTGAGATTGTCTTCTGAAAGAAGAAATACACTGAAATGACCAAGGTCCAATTGTCTGTAATCACAGCTCCAAAATATCATACTTACTTTATAACCTTAGTATTTGTACTTGTAGGAACAATAAATTAATCATGTTTTTAAATTATTGGGGAAGAAAGAAAAATAATTACCATTATTATTCCTGCCATATGCAACCGACTTTGCATATCTTGATTGGCTATTAGAGTGATAGTTGCAGATTGCAGTACATAAAAGAATATGCACTGAACCCATTATTTGCCTGCCGTGAAGACAAATGAATGAAGAAGATACGATCATTTAAAACTCTCCAAAACACCAGTCTGTACAAGTAAGGATTTTTACAGAAGAAGGTGACTTTGTCAAGCCATATTCAGCATTGACTGGTTCAGCAGAGTTTATGTCAGTTCCTCTAATTGCACTTTGCCGCTGTGAATACGAACCTGTGGAGTCCAGAGCACAGATTATAGCTGTCGGGGTCCAATAGAATCAGAAAGTTCTATTGATTTTTTGGTAAATCCACTATTTACAGAAAAAGGAGGTTACTGTGAGCCTCTCACAAAGGAGACTGCACAGAAACCACAGCCTGCTGAAAAGACATACTGTCACTTACACAACCAGTTTGATTTCAGGGGTTTAAAATTTCTAACAGGAGAGAACATGGAAAACAGAGTATGTTTAAGCATTGTATACTTACATATTTTAAAGCTGACCATTTGGTTGGGATTTTTATGCATTTGCATATCTAACTGGCAAGGGCAGAGGAGATACTAAGAGAAATCTGTTCTTTTCTGTATGCAGGGCAGAATGGTCTTGGTCTGTTTTATTATGTACACATTAAATATGAGCAGGAAGGGATCTCAAAGATGTCTGTTCTTCTTTTACTATTAGATAATATTTAGTCATTTTTATGATAAATATGTTCTACCTGATTTTCTGAGAGCTCACTGCACCCTCCCTTAAATGGGATCTTCCTTTGCATCTCAAAATAATCAGTTCCTTCTTGCCTTCTTGCTGGTAATCATGAAAGTAAGAAGGGAAATTCAATGCAATTGGTGATAAAAGTGATCATCTGCTTTGAAGGCAAAGAGAAAATAAGGTTTCATAAAACAATGAAGCTTTTGAACAGAGTTTTTATACTCTGGATTTACTAAAAAGAATTACTTTTTCTGATCTGGAAGGACAAAATGTATTTAGGAGATGTTTTTCAATTTATCTTAAATGATGTATTCTAAATGCAAAACTAGCCACCATCTTCAAAGTAGTCCTTCTATAGTTTAATCATATTTTTTTAACAATTGGAAAATCATATAATCATAAAATGAAATATGTGTGTATATACGTACATATATGTGTGTTTGTATATGCTAAGTATTTCTCTTTAGGAAACAGTACATTTGTAATCTGCGTGTTCAAATTCACTATCTTTTGAAAAGGGATCAGAAATGTGACACAAGGGTGAAATCCTTCAGAACAGACACCTAACTGCAGGTGTCTACAGTATAGATGCCAGCATGTGGGCAATGTACCCAAACTTCTTCTGTATTGTGCAAGACTAAAGAACTACTGTCCATCTTATCCTGAAGCATACATTTACCCAGGGCCAAATGTACAGTTCTCTAAGGTCCGTGGAGTAGATCTGTACATAAGGGAAGCTTAAACATCAAAATGCAGGTGTCTGATTAAAGAACTGAACTCCACCCCTGCTACAAACAACTGTCACAGGTTGTCACTGCTTAAATTGCATTTCAGGGTATTTTGCCATTTTTACTGTGAAAAGTACCAGAAGCAAAGCTTCTGAGTCTTTGTGCATGTTGATATTTACCAAATGGCAGAGACTGTTCAGTCCTGAAGGTCTCAGTACCATCACAGGCAGTACAAGCAAAAGAAAATCAGGCTATACTTACTATATATACACAGAGCTCTGAATATGGATGGGAAGGAAGGACTATATCTTATCATGACAGGATGAGAAAGAAAGGAATGCTATTTTGATATCCTTAATCTTTAAATATTTAAAAGATGATGTGAAAAGTCGAATAAACCTAAATTACTACTCCCATTTACTTTCTCCTAATATTGAGAGCAAATAGCTACATACAAAGCAAAACTAAATAAAAAAAAAATTACTTGTTTAGCAAGGTTACAGCAACATGGGATTTGTATAAAAATATATATAGTTTCTTCCATAAGTAGCAAGGTATATACCAATCTGCCAATCTATGCCACTGTAAAACTGAATTAAAGTATATAAACTTTTATAAATTCCAGAAATGATTGGTTCTGAAAAGCATGACAAATGTTTTGTTTCTATCAAATTGGCTATTTAAAACTTTGAAGTTCAAAGTATTACTGCTTGGATAGAGAGCTAAAGTATAACTCTGCCTAAATCTGAGGCAACACCAGAATCCATTAAGCTCCCCTTATTTACCTGTCCATCATAAGCTTAATATGTGATTCATCCTTTTCATATCACAGAGGACAAAAACGTGTTCTTTTGTATTTGAATCTCTAATTTGCACTCCTCATCTTCCTTTCCCAAGCAGTAAATGGTAGAGAAGAAAGCTTTTTCTGCAGTTTCTTCAGCTCTTTTTTTATTGAGGAAAAGCAGTTATATGTCAGGTCTCTAAGGAATTTAATGCTCTCTTTATCCCTTGACCCTATTTTCATACTTGGAGCTACAAGAAAAGAAGCTGTCCCACAGAAAGATAACATATTTGGAGCTTAGTAAGAATTTCAGTATGTAAATTATATGTTCTTTTCCCCAAGACCCACTCAACTCTTTTGGGAAAAGGGAAAAATAAGCTCTCAAAATGAAGTACTTTATAATGGAAATATTCTATTTCACTCTTTCAGATACTCCCTTGAGGAGAAAACAACACAATTCCTAGTCTCGAGGGGAAAACAGCACTATCAAATATACAGCGCAGATTTAATATCAAAGGATGAGGGCATTCCTGATAGATGAAAGACCTTGGGACTTAACCAGTAAGATTTGCAAAGTTTATCTTTCATACCATTTTGTAGCTATTAATTAAGCCATAGCATCTCTTTGTATGGAAAATTTTAATAAAGAAGAGAGACAAAAGCATACTAAAGCTGGAGGGATACAAAAGATATTTCTTTTAAGAAGGAAGGAATAATGATGGCCTTTGAGCTTCATTCTTGATGGCACTTCTCCCAGAAAACAACACTACTGATGGAAAATAAATTTTTCTGTTGGGTTCTTTTTTTTCCTATTTCACCACTCTTTCTTTTGTTGTCAGAGAAGAGCTATTGTTCACAAATTGAAATATAAGAAGAAGAGGGTTTACCATGCAGCTATCGGTAATATTTAAACTCCAGAAATCATTTGAGAAATTGCATTTAAAAGCTATCGAGAAGATGTAGAAAAAAAATTAAAGCAAGCCCTTAGATGGAACTAAATGCACTAGGCAAGGAAAAGACTTGTAATATCTCTAATTCTCATGTTTGAGGAATGAAGTAGAGAAAGGGAATGGAGGCCATAAAGGTGCCAAGTGTGCATGCTCTCCCTTTACCAGTGCAGGTGAGAGGATACTGGGTAAGATGGGTCACTGACAAGAAATGCCAGTAGAACATTTCTTGTCACTGAGTCTTCAGATCAGAGTGAAAACTTATGTTTTTAAACTGAAATACAGAACTGTTAGCAAACTAACTGCTGCCTTCAAGAGAATCAGGCTTTTATCCTGTAGTTCTGCCTACATGTGCATGTAAATACAGCACGTAACCAAAGATACTTGTAGTCCTGTAAACTTATTACAACACTTTATTGTGTGGAACCATACTGGAATTGACTGCCTTGTAAGCCTTAAACTAAGTAACTCACAGATATGTATATCAGGTAATGGACATCGACTCCTTTAGCAAGCATGTGATTTTCATTCACACTTCCTAGTTTTTTAATCTGGCATCTAAACAAGAAACCTTGCAGCAATATTAGTTAAGAAAGAACCTAGATTTAGTAAAGAGGGAAGAGGGAAATTATGTTTTATTTTTATTTAAACATATGCACTCAGTTAATATACCTAAATCATACTGTTTGTGCTTCTGTATGCTTACTGTGATGCTGAGCTGTGGTACTTGCAGGTACAGATGGCCCAGCTGCCAGTTTCACTTCCCACACTTATCTACCATATGCAAGCTTTTTAACTAAATCATTTTTAATAACTGAAGTGAGACAGCAACTGGTGTTTTGCTGTTGATGTGCATTCAGCAGTAACTTGAATTAACAATTAACCTTCAATGTACACTAAATTAATACTTTCATTACTATAGTGGTAGCTAGTATCATACTGTATCTATAGGAAAAAGCAGCTTACCTGAATAACATGTTTCAGCTTGTCAATAATTCGACTTATTACAGGATCTGTTCCCTTCACTTTTACTTCTGGATTTGCAGACTGAGCTTTGATTCCACTGCCAACCACATGACGCGTATAGCTAGTTTAATACAGAAACACACACAAAAATGGTTTAGTAACTTACTCTACTCTTAGAGAGTCATCTTTTAGTTTGTATTATCTCTCATGGCACCAACATTCCACTTTAATGAGACGCATTAATTTTGTGCACGTATTTTTCACAAAAAAAGAAATACAGCATAATATAATTACTACATTCCACAAAGTTCTGTTATTTATTATAGCTTTAAGTTTGCTACAGACTTTAACAAGGAAAGTTATCTGCATTTTGAACCACAAAACATTGCGCCCTATGCATGGCTTTTTTGTGTCTGTGCAAAAAGACTGTTCTCCACTTTGGTTTTGCTAAATATGAACTACATGATGATTGCCTAAATGTGTCACATTTCAGTTTTAAAACTGTGATGGTTTCAGTCTAGGCCTTCCTGGAGACCAGCTTGTAACCAGGAAGGAACTAGGAAAGTGACCAAGGAAGTATTCCATGCTATTCCTTTACGTAACCTAGGGTATAAATAAGGCATTGATAAGAGAGCTCGCTCTCTTCTCTTCCGGCGAGGTTGGAGAACGGTGGTCCCTGTCTGGGTCTGGCTTATCTGAAGTTGAGGCCTACAGTAACTGCTGTTGTCGGCCACGTGTGAGGGGGGAGTGCTGGGCCGCGTCCAGACGTCCTGCTTTCTTTCAAGGGAAGTGGTGAGCTCTTGCCAATTCTGGTTACCGGGTTTTTAGATTGTGTGGATCTGTTTTATTTTTTGTCCCTTTTCACCCTATTTTATCCTTTTCCCTTCTCCCTTCCCCCTCTTCCCTTCGGGAAGCTATTTGGGGTCATAGATTCATATATATAATTCTCATTGTATATCTCTGTTTTATATGTAAAATATATATATTTTTGCTAGAACTTTGGTTGCCTGGTTTTTTTTCGTTTTTTTTCCTTCCCTCTCTGGGAAGGAGACTCTGTTGTCGAGTTTCGGAGACTTGGCAGGAAGCCAGCTCCAAACTTACACAACAACAAACTCCAGATTCTACACACGCTCCATGTTCAGAACTAAACCTGAAGTTTCCTAGTATTTTTGTGAGTGCACGTGCAGACAGAATACCTATTGCAGGACAACAGCCAAATTGTGCATAAATTATTTAGCGTTACAAAAATTATATAAGAGGTCAAAATGTAATTAATATATAGATATGTAAAAAAGAAGAAATAGAAACCAGATATATGCTGAATCCAGAAAGAACTATTGTAGTAATTAGAACATTGTTTCTAATACATCAAAACTCAAAATACAGAAACTAGACTAACAACCTAGCAGAATTCTGCAGCTTATTAAGATGCAATTCTTCATTCAACTTACCATGTTATATGTAATACTCAAGTTATGCAAGAAAAACTGAATATCTACCTTCTCATCACAGATATTGTAAAATATGCAAATACCCTCCATATGTTACATATTGCCTGCATACCCTTTAAGAGGATAGCTCTATACATCTCTGTCTCAAAAGTATTTTGCCAGCTGTTACGCTGTCAGAAAAAGAAAGGAAATAACCTTAACAGAAGTGGAGTAAAGAAAAGTCTAATTCCTGCCTGTTAGATTCGCATATGAGCATAGACAACACAGCATATTCAAATTTTGCTAATTTTTTTCAATGAAAAACATTACATGTTCTCTTAGCTCTGCAGAAAATCTTCCATATATGTGAATCAATGAACGCAGTTCAGTAAAACAAGGTTGCCACATAACAATGATATTTTGTCTTTGATCTTTGCTTAAATATCACCTTAAATGAGATTTAGGATATTCCTAAGGAAGTGCACACATTGAATATATGAATGCTCACAGTCTTCAAAAAGTGTTATTTTGTTTTATAGCAGACAGCTTTTTGTGCTGTCTTGTAGCAATGAAGCTACTTGCCAGCTTGAAGTGATGGGGGAAAGCTTTGTATAGGGGTGTGTAAAAAATCCACAGTGTGCCTGCTAGTGGGTGATTGTTTACTGCAGCAATTTGAGAAGGGTCAACAAATCTTCTGGTAGTTCTTAGCTGAAAAAGAAAAGCTAATGTAAAAACCTTCACCAAAAAAATCCTTTGACAGTCATTTGTCTAAGTCAAAATAGATAAATCAATAAGGAATTCATTCCAGCTGGACAATGCTGCACTCACCAGAAAGACAACTGGTTTAACTCAACACACTGGTTTAATGCAACACAGAAATTTCTCTTCATACTGTAACATTATAAAAAGTCTTGAAGGTTATGGCTATCCTTTCTATGCAGTGCTCTTGTTTTCTGTTGCACAGCATGCAAAATTTGTGTTCTCACTTTCTGTCACTCAGAATTCTTCAATTAACAGGGTTTTTTTTTAAATGCTGCAAACCCAGCTATCACACATTCACCTGTGAACTGTCACTGTTGGGACGGCCACAAACACATCACACACTCTTCTTCCAAAAATAGGACCTTTATTTCACACAAACGTTATTAATTTATAGTCTTTTCTAGCCAGCGTCTTTCATTACCATTGGTGCCCCTACTACATAAACATGTCAAGATTGGTTGTTCTATAGCTTCTGCAAACTCAGGATGACTCGGCAGACAGTCCAGGATCTCCCGCTATCACAGCTGCCCCGCAGCTCCATCCTCCCTGTCCACCCTCTCATCTTCAATGTTTACATTCCTTCACAATCTCGCAGCTGCAACCACTCAAATTCAGGGCCCAAGCTGTCCACAGCTCAGTCGCCTCCCACAGTGAACTGCATAACTTTGAAAAAGAATACCCTTTCTCTTTTTTTAAATTCAATTGATGATACTCATTTCTCAAACCATGCAGGAAGAAATCAGTCATACAGAAGCTGAGACTTCCCTAGGCACCAGTTTTATCTGTTTAGCTCACCTGGGAATTATTTGGCAATGATTCATTCAAGACTGACCATCATATCTTTTTCAGCTATTTCTACATTGAAATCCACAGCCTTGCACAGCTGGTATTTGCCATAGGACTAACTTAGTTCTTTCACATGAGTGAAAGTAGCTAGGAAAGTAGTGCTATCTGGTGAGTGGACCCGATATTAGGAGTTCCAATCATGTTCCCCAACCTCTTCAGAGTTGACATTCTCTGAATTCCTCTTCAGCTGTGGTTCATAAGGAACTGCTGGATTTACTCATCAGTAAAAAGTGCTAGCAATTACTTTGGTTTTCTCTCTCTCCCACTCCTACTCATTCTCTTATAGTCATTCATTTTCATATTCTCTCAAAGCAAAAATACATATACATCTGTTCTCCAGATAGAGGAACTCTACTATCTATTACTTTTTTTTTGTATTGGAAATCTCAACTCATATTAAATTTACTTCCGCTGCAATGTGATCCGGATTTGACGAACTGACATAAAAACTATCATTTAACTTTGAGTTTGTTGTAATTACATGTTCTGACAAGTTATAAGGCAGACTGGAAATCTTTTTTTCTTTCTTCAGGTATATAATAAGGCATTGACAAAAGCTTAGGAAATATTCCTTTATTGTTATTATCATAAAAGTAAGATCATGGAAGTCAACCTCTTTTTGTTTAATCTTTTCTTTTGCTGCTTGAAATGGTATCTTTTGCATACAAAAGTTATAAATTACTTATATGTTGTTGTTTCATATTCCACATATCATTGTGTTTAATTAACAAATGTCTATAAATCTAACATCTTCAAACATACTAATGTAAACTAAATGATCTGTCAAAGCTAAACAAGCTATTGGGACTCTGAGCATGGTACACAAAACCTCATCCCCGTAGACTTACATTTACATGCAAAATATGTTTCCCTTTAGTTAGAGGGGGGAAGGAAATGTAAAAATCTCACACTCTTGGTTTGAGAGACTTCATTTATTATAAAGTTTTAATACAGCATTAATCACTTGCTGTTTCTCTAAGTACTAATGTACAAGTAATAGCAAAAACATTTTAAGGATCCCCACAGAGGTAGTCTGACTTGAGTAAGTGTTGCTCAGATTTGAATCCTGGGGAAAAAAAAAATGACAAATTTCTTGCTAGAGAAGTAATAGACCCACCATCTGTGCTCATTTCTGTACAAGCATGGTAATGTATCACATTGCTTTAATAGGCAGACTTGGTCCCCAAGTACTATTCATTTTCATCAACACTAGAAAAAAAAAGCACCAATATATTTGTATTCTATAAACATGTTTTAAAGTGATGAACAACAAGGTGCCCATTTCCTGAGCTCATATATGAATATTCATATAAATTACCTACTACTCTCTATTGTTTCTATGAATACAGTTGGTGGGGTTTACATTTGATTCTATCAAGATCTCTGATAAAAGAGATCATGCTTTATTGGCTATCACCATTTTCTTGGTATGTGTAATTAATTCTTGTAAGAATGAGCCATTTTGGACATGGTGCTTAAGGCAGATCTGTATCTCTATATCCTTCCAGCACAAAATAATCTGTATTATATTGTGATGACAGCAAATACTGATACACCATATTTAATGTTATGATTTTCCCTGTCAAGCTTCTTTTAGGCAATTGGACCTTGTTTCAAGCAGGAGATTAAAGCAATGAAAGGTGTATTATGATAGTGAACACTATTCTGCAGAACATCCCTAAGTGTCCTGGCAGTCAAGCCTCTCCCAAAAGACCTGGTAATGTTCTACACTTCAGCAAGTTTAGCTGGTCATCCCATCCTGATGTATCTGTTTCAACTGCTACTATCACCTTCTGTCACTGTCTTCTTCTGGTCTCTAAGAGTATTTCCCCAGGGTTCAGTACTGGTCTCTGTTCTGTTTAACATCTTTATCAATGGTTTGGAGAAGGGGCTCCAGTGCATCTTCAGTAAGTTTGCAGACGACACCAAGTTAGGTGGGAGTGTTGATCTGCTAGAGGATAGCAGGGCTCCACATAGAGATCTGGACAGATTGGATCATTGGGCTGAGCACAACTGGGTGAGGTTCAATAAGGTCAAGTGCTGGGTCTTGAACTCATTTTGCAACAACCCCAAGCAGCACTAC